GCCTGCCTGCTCTGGCGGGAGGTTGGTGATGACTGGCACTATGGGCCAGTGGGCCGCACAGTGCTGGGCCAGCTGGGGCGCCAGATGGGCTGCAGGTAAGTTAGGTAGGTTTTCTGTCCTTTCTTTTTATTTCTGTTTTCTAATTCTTATGTAACTTTAGGGCTTTAATTAAAATACTAAAACTAACTCAAAAATCATGAAACTTCTCAAGCCCACTGTTTGGCATATTTCCAACAGCTAACATTTTAGTTCATGATTATTTGGACATTAAAAACATTATATAGCATTTAAATGCCCAAATGCAAATAGAGTATGATTTAATTAAGTGACCCAATGTTGTCCTAGAAAAATGTGAACCATTTTTGACTGAGGTTCTAGACCAGGGCAAAGATGATGAACATTTTAGAAGGGCATTTCAGGTTCATTGAAAAAGTATTTTAGTAACCCTAGTTGGTTTGAGTGGTGCTGGGGGTTTCTGTCATCCCCGTTTCAAGTTTCTGAGAAAATTAAACATGATGATATGATGATCATGCAAGGACAAAGCAAAGGCTAAGCTAGGGCTGTGACAACTGGGCATTAAACATGTAAAGGTTAAGTACTTAAGTTGCTATATAGGCTTCCTGGTGCTGGAAAGACCCTGTTGAATGGAAAGGATCCCAAGGTATGGTTATTCTCATTGAGCATCAAGTATAGCTTTGTTACTTGTCTAAATCTATTGAATTGAATCTGTTTATGTTTGGTCATGCGAAATCCTATTGACTGAGGGGGTGTTTGGTTCAGGGACTTTTTAGTCCCAGAGACTAGAAAAAGTCCCTAAAAAGTCCCTAGAAACCAAACAGAAGGGACTTTTTCTACAGGGACTAGAAAAAGACTCTACTGGAGAGTCTTTTTTGATTAGTCCTAGGACTAGAAAAAGTCCTAGGACTTCTGAACCAAACACCACCTGAAATTATGCAGATGTACATGACTGTTAATGTAAAAAATGAAAAATGGAATCATGCAGATGGTACATAACTGTTAATCAAGGAGTGGTAATATTCAACCACGCACAGGATGTGGTGTGGATGATTTGCAAAAAATGAAAAATGAAGGATCTTTCAGTTACATAGCCAACTATCTTCTATAGCATATTGCTTAGGTGTGAGGGGAGATCATTAGAAATTAAATTGCTTGCATGTGCGCATGTTTTGGCGAAGACTGGGCATAAAGGAACCAGCAGCGATTCTTGGTCTATCACCCTGCCAATTTATTGTGTAATAACTGTAAATGTCAAGACTTGGATGGGGTATTTTGCTGAATTAATGGCCAGTCCATTTCACAAAACAATATTAGTCAATTTCATGTTTTGGCATCGACTGTAACTACGAATCCTCCTCCTTTTAAGTTGGATATTAACGAGCGACTAGATGATTATGCCAAGGTGAATCTTTTTGGCACACAGTTCCGGTAGGTGTGTTCTACTCATATTATTGTTAAATAAGTAGCATCCTTGTATTCTATTTGGTAAAAAAAATTGCATGTCATTCACCGATTTCAAGAGATTGTGGATGGCCCAAAAGTTTTCTCATATCTATGAAGGCAGACGCAAGATGAACTCGTGTGTTTTTACAGGGTCCCTCTTTTTGCATTGTATGGTAGGCTATTGTTTCCTTCAAATTGCCACTTTACCTATGATTAATCTTTCTTACAACACCACTGATGTATTTTCCCTTTCTTGTCTATGCAGGCCATCTGATTTCCAAAAGCTCCCTGATTCGAAGGTTGGCTAGGCTTGACAGCCTTTACTGTCTGTATGAGTGCCGCCATACAAGTCACACGTCAGAATTTTTTAAGGTATATTTTTTATGCACTAAACTAGGGATTATTGGAACAGAGTAATTAATTCCCTGAATATTGGATTGCAACAGAAGAGTCCAAGAAACTCAAAGACTTTGTCGTTGAGGCTAAGAATAATATGCTTTGCGTCATACCGGCACTTGCCAAAAGGATGCTACACAAGGTCATAAACAGTATGGCATATTAATGGCTACAACAGAAAAACTCGACAACCTGCAGGAGCATAAAGTTTTGAAGTAAAATGAACAAAGCATCAACTATCCTAAACTGCAGTAGTCCTATCCCCTATGGGAAGATGCACCGAGCAGGTACCAGGTCTGGCATGCAAGCACCGGATGACACGCTGTATTGTTTGGTGTCTGGTTGGCTCAACTTCCAGGAATACCTTTTTGTGGTTATGTAAGAGCACATGACATAATAGAATCATCATCTATTCAGAGAACAGCAAAAGGTATATGTACAAGGCTGTTTTGATCACATACAATGGACTTCAGGAAATTCCATTTTTTTCGAAAAGGGGAGACTCCCCGGCCTCTGCATCAGAATGATGCATACGGCCATCTTATTAAACCAAATAAATAAGTTCCAACAAGGTCTCAAAGTCTCCAACTGAAAAAGTGAAAAAAGCTCACACAAAGCCAAAATGGGCTAGAAACACAAACTAGCCAAATAAAAGACGCCACAACCGGCTGGCTAAAGAGAGATATGTAAACTAATTGCCTATCCTATTACATGACCGCCATCCAAACCGTTTGAAAATATCCCGAACTACCATCTCCCAGCGGATAGATTCAGTAACCAAACGCTCTCTGGGCTCCGTCGGAGTGAGTAGCGACCACGAACGGATCAACGCTGTGCCTCTGAAAATAACCTGCAAAAAATGAATGTGTGTTGTCCTGTTAAAAACCAAATCATTTCTGCAATTACAGAGCGCCCACACCAAGGCGCAGACTCCTACACGAATATGTCGCGCTAACTCGGGCTCTACCCCGTTAAATAAAATTAGTTGGGAACCTACTTGTATTACCATACACACATAGTAAGAAAATGAAATACAAAATAAATGGAAGTGACCTACATGCCATCCAACAACAATCATGTTATGATCGAACGCTTTCGAATTCTTAATAATCAAGGCAGCTCCACTGTGTTGATCTTGACGCAAAGAGAGACCATATACGTCGATTGTAGCTTCAATCCCATAGTAATCCCGTGCCACATGTGTTTTATATGCTGCATCCTGGTTAAAAAAAAGGAATTTACTTGAAGATGTCAGCGTAATTATGCTCTATTTGGTAAGGTAGAGGATATTTATATATAAACTTTCTCCATTTGTGTCGATTTCGGTAGCTATAGTTTGATTTAAATGTTTGTAACAACTTGGTGTATTGTGATGTTTGTGTTTTCATCTGGATATTTAGGTGCGCACACCAAGCATTTATTCCCGTAACTTCAGATATGGATCTACTAAAAGATATGGATCTAGATTGCTAGTGCTGGTAGAAGGTGACATTATGAACCACCAAAATGGCAGGCAGAAGAGATGAAGTTATTGCCATTGATTCCTCCATTTCTAATATAAGTCCTTTTAGAGATTCCTATATGGACTACATACAGAGTAAAATGAGTGAATCTACACTAAAATATGTCTATATACATTCATATGTAGTCTCTATTGAAATCTCTAGAAAGACTTATATTTAGAAATGGAGGGAGTACAAGTATAGCATTTGCTGGATACATGCTATTGCCATTAAGTTATCATCAGGCAACTATATTTAATCAAGCCTCTAAGAAATTCCATAAACACAGTCACAAATTTAAGCTGCCCATACAGCCACCTTGGCACCAATAATTGCCTCTAATCTACATCATCATCAGACCAACACCAATCTAAAAAATGTTGAGCGGAGAAATATTTTTCAAGCTTTTGGACAGCAGAGAGATGAATGAATACCTAGGACCCAGAAGCTGCTGCAGATGGGTGAAGCTCCAACGGTGCCGGTCAGTGACCAGTCACAAAATTGTGACCCAGTCGGGCTCCTCAAACCGGCCTTATACGTCTGGGCTAACCGGCACCCCCATATCAGGTCCATATCTAGGATGGATATGGGAAGGCCTGTACGTGCCTAGGCACGTTTGCCTACCGGATTGATAGATAAGAGCCACCACAAATTCCACCAAATCCCTCCGATCTTGCCGGACTAGCACTTTTCCTCCCCTCTCTTCTCATTCGTTTACGCCGGCCCTCCCCTCCCGGTTTTGTGAAGCTTTTGGTTAGTTTATATTTCTTCCTTTCGGTTGTGGGGTTTTCTGGACCAGTTTTTGTCTAGTTATTTTTTTAGTTTATCTTATCTTTTCTTTTCAAATGTGTGAATTTTTTTTGAAATCTATTTTCCAAAACGTGATTTTTTTGGTCAGATTTTGAATTTCTTTCCCCCAAAATTTGTGAACTTTCCCAAATGTTTGTGAACTTTTTCATTTTTCATGAACTATTTTAAAATAGGTGTTTTTTATTTATTTTTATGACCTCCTCACATTCACAATTTTTTTTCAAATTCATGAAAATTTTCATTTTTGCGAACTTTTCTCAATTTTATGAACTTTTCAAATTCATGAACTTTCTTTTCGAACCCGTGAAGTGTTTTTAAATCAATGAACTTTCTTCAAATTCGCAAACAATTTTTGAATTTTGCAAACAATTTTTTTTCAAATCCATGAACCTTTTTTAAAATGGTCGTTTTTCAAAACCCTATTTTTATTTGCAAATTCGTGACTCTTAAAAATTCCCAGTTTTTTTTCTAGAAAACCGGTGTATTTCTCCAGAAACCAGCTGCTACCTGGTGTACGCGCCGAATAGGGAGTCTCAACATTATGGTAGTGTATGCCTCTTGTTTGGAAGGCACTCCTTAGCGGAGTTTGTGAGTCCGAAATTGGGTGTGCATATGTGCTGGGCTGGGTCGGTGAGGAGGGAAACCGAAAGTCGGCTCGTGGCTATAAATGGGGCAAGGGTAATCGTGATCCATGGGAAGGTGAAAAAACGTCTGGGTCAAGGGTAATAATCGCCAAAAAGATTCGTCTTTGAGATCAAACAGCCGTGGTGAGCGCCGTCGTTTCGAGTGAAATCAGCAGCAGACCCACCCAGTCGTAACGAGGGCAAGAAAATGGCGGGCGCTGTTGAGCAGAATCGCCTTCTTCTAGTCGTGGAGATCCGCGGCCTTGATCACCAGTACCATTTCGTGGAGGTCGACGTCAAAGGTCTTTTCTACCCCGACTCCGGCTCATTCCCCAACAAATCATCGGCCAGGGCCAGGGTTACCGCAACAGCGATGACTACGGCGAGGGCTTGCGGCGGGTCGCTGCGCAGCCTCCCGGCCCCCATGGCGCGGTACAGGACGTCAACCGACATGCCCGAGCGCATCGATTTCGCGCTCGTCGGCACCGCCGTAGCGGGCGCCTCCAGCAACGGCAACACCTTCACGATGTCGCGGTCCGGCGCGCTGTCGGCGGAGCCGGAGCTGCAGAGCCTGCGCGGCCGCACCCATCTGATCCCGCTGGGGCACCGCCCGTACGCGCTCAACCGATTCATGCACGATCTGGCGGAGCCGGCCTGCCTCGAGACATTGCCCCTCCCCGGGACTGGAAGGCGCCGGCAGGAGCCCTGGCGTGCCCTCCCCGACCCCCCGCCCGGCTACCGCAGCTTGGACTTGGGCTGGCCGCGGGTCACGGCCTACCTCGCCGCCGGAACGCGGCTGTGGGTCTCGGCACAGGGGATGGGCACCTGCACTTTCGACACCGTCCGGTGCGCGTGGCGCAAGGAGGGCGACTGGGAGCTGCCGTTCCAGGGCCGCGGCCTCGTCGTCCCCGAGCTCGGCGGCCTCTGCTTCGGCCTGTGCCCCAAGGAGAACTGCCTGTGTGCCTGCGACATGCAGCAGTCCCCTCCGGCGGTCAGGTACGTGTGGGAGGAGACGCGGCCACGGTGCCCTCCGTCCGGCACCCCTTTCGGCTTCTACCCAGAAGGAGCAACCGTGATCTATCTTGGGAATGGAAAGTTTTGCATCTCATGGATAATTGGATTCGGCCACCGGGCGCCCCTGCGCCCTGCCATCCTGTTGACGGCCCTGCAGGTCCTTGCCTCTGCTGTCGGTAATAAGCTCCGGGTTGTCAACCACAAGGTCCGCTTCTATCAGATGCCAAGCCAGGGCAATGTGGCACATGCTCTTCAGCCTGACTTTTAAATTACAATCACATTAACAGGGAAATCGTGCATTGACAAGTAGGCTGGAAATTCGTCCTTATTAGTCCGTCGTTTGTTGTGTGTATATACAATTGTATAATTATCTACTCGTAGTAGTTTGGCAATTCACTGAAATCAAATTCAGCATCACTCTAATTTATAGTCAATGACAGCTCTAGAATCCATGTAATTTTGCAGTCATAGTTTTATTCTTTGAGTTAATTGATTTTTTTGATATAGCTGTCGGCTTATTCCAAGCGTAATTTTGCAGTCATAGTTGATTGATATGTAACTTTTGTACACATATTTCCAGCCTAGGTACTAATCTTTATCTTTATCTTTATCTTTACCTAATATTAAAGGAAGGATTGTTTCTTCAAAAAAATTCGTTCACAGTGGGACCCACATAATTTTCGTACGTACGTCCCAGGCATTTCCTAGTGCGAGCGTTTTCTGGTTCTCCCGATTGGTTTCTGTCAAAAAACACATGACGCACAATGGGCCGGCCCATTAGCGTACAAACAACCCGTACCAGTAAAAGAATTTTCATTGTCTCAAAAAAAAGTAAAAAAAAATTCGAGAAAAAGTATTGTGATGTGAGAAATCGAACCAAGCCAATCACACTCAAGCACTCAAATGCTAACCACTAGACTAAACATGACTAGGTGTTTAACTAGCACCAGGAAATTTTAAATTAAGTACACAATCGCGCCATATACTGAGAGGAAAATATTTTTTTAAAGTGAATATATTCGATTTTTTTTGCAAATTTGTTAATAAAATATTTAAAGCCAAACATTTTTTAAAGAAGAATATTTGACTTTTTATTTTTTTTGAAACCTGAGTATTTTTTAAACACAAACAATATTTTTTTAATATGACGTATTGTTGTGATTATTTCTCGAATTTGCAAACATTTTAAAAATACAAATATTTTTTGAACTTCAAATTTGAAAAGGAAAACATTTTTGTAAACATATTTTTCTAAAACTAGGAGGTACTGTAGACTTGGCGAATTTTTGAAATATGCCCACATGATGCTTTGTTTTACTAGGGATATGGAAGGAATCTTTCTCTCTCGCGCGTCTTCACGTACAACCATTCTCACTCGGCCCAGTGACTCCCGTCAAATTGCATGAGGAGTCCAACTAAGGTTACATGAGCTATCTGACACAAACTACTTAATTTACATGATGACACGAACATATATTATGTGTAGTGCTTTTCCCTATTATATTAGCCAGATGATAAAAGAATTGTGTTCAACACTCTTGATCTTCATCGGACACGAAGGCGGCTCAACAATCCAACTATTGGACCTTGCCAACCTTGGTTAGTGACAACCGGTACTACGGCCACTGGCGACGAGTATGGCAAAGACAACAAGCGGACACATGTTTCTGGTGTTATATTGAAATGGAGGATGTGGACCTGAGAATGAGGCATTAGTCATGTTTATTTTGTTATGGGCATGAGGCCATGAGGGTGAGGTCTTTAGCCATGCTTAGTGGGTAAGGGCGTGTGAGGGCAGTTTTCTCCCGTTGCAACGCACAGGTATGTTTCCTAGTTTTTTTTAAAAAAAATCTGTTTTTTTTGCATGGAAGATAATTTGGAAGATAATTTCAGATCATTTGAACATATGAGTAGCTCTCGGTTAAAAGACAAATTTCAGAACAATACGTGAACAGTAAACTTTTTCACACACCCAAATTTATCTTTTTTGCCGAGAGCTACTCAGAAGTTCAAATGATCTGAAATTTGGAGCGCATCTCACACAATAAATTATCTTTCATGAAAAAATGGATTTTTTTTATTTTTTCTAGTATTTTGTTTGAACTTTCTGTTCATCGCGGGTGCAGCTGAGTCTGGGCAACGAATCGCGTCGTCCTCCAGAAAGGCCTTATTGCAAGATTTTCTTTTTCTGGCTCTTTTCTTTAATTTTTCTTGGCGTCCCGTCTCTTTGGACTATTCCTGGGAGAAGTCACGTGTGTTCTCGAATACGCACGAGTGTGTGTATCATTCATTAAAGAAGGGGGAGGACTCCCAAGTCTTCTGTACATTAAATTTACATGCCGAATTTTATCCGGCACCATCCAAATTCATCGGCTAATCCTCTCGATACTGCCTACCCTCATCCAGCTCGAAACCTTTTACATTGCCTTTCAAGAGGCCGGCCTTAGCCCACAGTCCACCCTCCTCCCCAATCTTGAGTAGTGTCGCCGAAAGAGAAGGTGTTGCGCCGTCGAACACAATGTCGTTGCGGTGCTTCCAAATCATCCACATCCCAAGTAGGCATAGGGCCCTAGTGGACTTGCGGTGTGTGGTGGTACGTTCCTGCCTAGTGCACCACTCCCTGAGGGCTTCATCCAAAGTCGGCTCAAACTCCTGTCTTCCCGTCATTCTTCCCATCCAATGCCAGACCTGCTTTGCAAAAACGCACCCCACTAGCAGGTGTTGAATGGTCTCCTCGTGTTGGTTACATAGCGGGCAAGCTTGCCGATGAGGTAGGCCTCGTCGTGCTAGTCGACCAGACATCCAACAACGGTTCTTAAAGGCCAACCACGCGAAGAAGCAACATTGCAAAGGTGCCCTAGATTTCCAAGTGAAAGCCGCCATTGGGGCAACCGTGCGCCCCATGAACCTGGCCGCATAGGCCGACCTCGCTAAAAATTGTCCGTCTTTCTCCCAAGACCAAGTAACCATGTCCTCCGTATCTCCAGAGAGCTGGAAAGTAGTGATGAGAGGCCATGTGATGTCTAGTATGTAACTTCATTCTTATAGACACGTGTTGGGCCTCCAAGTGCAGAGTTTTGTAGGACAGTAGCAATTTTCCTCAAGTGGATGACCAAAAGTTTATCAATCCGTGAGAGGTGTAGGATGAAGATGGCCTCTCTCAAACGACCCTGCAATCAAATACAAGAAATCTCTTGTGTCTCCAACACACCCAATACAATAGCAAATTGTATAGGTGCACTAGTTCGGCGAAGAGATGGTGATAAACGTGTAATATTGATGGTAGAAATATATTTTTATAATCTGAATAAATAAAACAGCAAGGTAGCAAATAGTAAACGTGCACAAAAATGGTATTGCAATGCTTGAAAATGAGGCCTAGGGTCCGTACTTTCGCTAGTGCAACCTCTCAACAATGCTAATATAATTGGATCATATAACCGTCCCTCAACATGCAACGAAGAATCACTCCAAAGTTCCTATCTAGCGGAGAACATAAGAATAAATTGTTTGTAGGGTACGAAACCACTTCAAAGCTATTCTTTCCGTTCGATCTATTCAAGAGTCCGTACTAAAATAACAGAAAGCTATTCTTTCCGTTCGATCTATCCTTGAGTTCGTACTAAAATAACACCAAAGCAAATTCATATTCATAATACTCAATCCAAAACAAAGAACTTCAAAGAGTGCCCTAAGATTTCTACCAGAGAAACAAAGATAAGAACGTGCATCAACCCCTATGCAAAGATTACCCCAATGTCACCTCGGGAATCCGAGAGTTGAGAGCTAAAACATATATCAAGTGAATCAATACGATACCACATTGTCACCACGAGTATTCAATTGCAAGACATATATCAAGTGTTCTCAAATCCATAAAAGTATTCAATCCGATAACAACGAAATCTCAAAGGAAAAAACTCAATTCATCACAGGAAGTTAGAGAGGGGAAAACACCATATGATCTGACTATATTAACAAAGCCTGTGATACATCAAGATCGTGACATCTCAAGAACACGGGAGAGAAAGATTAAACACATAGCTACTGGAACAAACCCTCAGCCCCGAGGGTGGACTACTCGCTCCTCATCGTGGTGGCCGCCGGGATGATGAAGATGGCCACCGGAGATAATTCCCCCCTCCGGCAGGGTGCTAGAACGGGGTCTAGATAGATTTTCGGTGGCTACAGAGCCTTGCGGCGGCGGAACTTCTGATCTAGGGTTATATCTGATGGTTTCTATATTTATAGGATTTTTTGGCGTCGATTTCACGCGAAGATGGGCCTCAAGGTGAGCACAACCCACAGGGACAAGCCAGGCCCACCAGGCGCACCCTGGTGGGTTGTTCCCTCCTTGTGGCTCTTTTGGCCCTCCCACGAAGCTTCGGGGGTCTCTTTTGTTCCAAAAAAATCGTCAAAAAGTTTCAGCTCATTTGGATAACTTTCATTTCTGCACAAAAACCAACACCACGGTAGTTTTGCTGAAAACAGCCTCAGTCCCGGTTAGTTCCATGCAAATCATACCAAAACCATATAAAATTGTTGTAAACATGGCATGAATACTTCATAAATTACAGATACATTGGAGACGTATCAGCATCCCTAAGCTTAATTCCTACTCGTCCTCGAGTAGGTAAATGATAAAAGAAATAATTTATGAAGTGTGAATGCTAGCAAAGTGCACAAGTTTGATAATTGTGTTGGATCAAAAGTATGTCTAGAGGGGGGGTGATTAGACTACTTGACCAAATAAAAATCTATCATTTTCCCAATTTTAAGTCTTGGCATATTTTAGCAACTTAGCACAAGTCAAGCAATCAACCTACACATGTGATGTCTACTACACAACCTTCTTATTGTAGATGTTGTTGGGCCTCCAAGTGCAGAGGTTTGTAGGACAGTAGCGAATTTCCCTCAAGTAGATGACCTAAGGTTTATCAATCTGTGGGAGGCGTAGGATGAAGATGGTCTCTTTCAAGCAACCCTGCAACCAAATAACAAACAGTCTCTTGTGTCCCCAACACACCCAATACAATGGTAAATTGTATAGGTGCACTAGTTCGGCGAAGAGATGGTGATACAAGTGCAATATGGATGGTAGATAAAGGTTTTTGTAATCTGAAAATATAAAAACAGCAAGGTAACTAATGATAAAAGTAAGCATAAACGGTATTGCAATGCGTTGAAACAAGGCCTAGGGTTCATACTTTCACTAGTGCAAGTTCTCTCAACAATAATAACATAATTGGATCATATAACTATCCCTCA